TTGGTTTCCTTGAAATTGAATACTTTCTGCCCTCCCAAAAATACATTGTTTTTCTTTTTCTTTGTCCCTGAGATCAAACTCAGCACCTTGCACTTGCAAGGCAGGTGGCAGAACCACTGAGCTAAATGCCCAGCCCCCAAAAGTACATTTGATTTTTACCTCCTAATTTACAACAAGTAAAATGATGTAATAGAGTATTAGAGATTGTTTGACACCAAGTGAAACTGACCTTCCAGTGAAGTCGTAAGCAAACTCCCTAGATTGGAGCAGTGCTGTGCAGGATGGTGACCCTGATTATCCATCCTTCTCCTGTCTGCAACTTCACGGGCCTGTAATGCAGTCATTCCTTCATGGTGTACTTATTGGGCACGTGCTGTATTCCTGACATTCTGGGAGGCAGAGGCCACAGAGACACATACAGACCTTGCTTTGGATTTTTAGAGCATGACATTTGGAGGGCTGAAGGTGGAGAAGGGTTTTCATAGGACTGGCTTTTGCAGAATCACTGTAGACTGAGTTTGAGAACATGACCTTGTCTCTTCTTGCCTTGAGCATACGCTCAAACACACCCACGGTGTCCTCCTGGCTCTGCTCTCACAGCCCATCCCCCTGGAGCCTCTCAGGCTCTTTCTGGACAACATTATAGTTGCTTCCCTTGTGTCCTTGGCATGTTTGTCATCTCTCCACATTTTTTTTTCATTTTCATTTATTTGCTGCACATGGCTGTTAGCTCATTGGCACCTAGTTCTACTTTTGCAACAGGTATAAGTTGTCAGGAAGATTTCAATACTGAGGGTGGCGTGGGCTGTCCGTGATAGAGTGTGAACAGTTCTGAGTCCTCCATGTGTGGCTTTCTGCAGTGTATGGGTATCTCAGAGATGCCCTCCAGTCCCCCTGCCACTGAACAGGAGTAGTGTGTGCCTTTCACTGAGCTCTCCTCCTCCCCAGCTTTATTCTATTTCCAGTATCATCTGTTGTTTTTCTAAAGCCCCCAGGATGTTGTGGGCAATTACTAGGATTCTTCCATCTTGGTTTTTATCCACTGTATTCCTATGGGAATATAAAAGTATGTCAGAAACATTATGCCGTAAAAATCGTTAGCTTTTTTATTATGAGTTGTGGTTAAACAGTATGTGAATTGAAGAGTAGCTGAACTACAGCTTAGAAGTTCTGGCTTGGTTGAAGTTGTTTTTGTTCTACTTCCCCAAAACTAGAATAGGCCTCTCTCCGTGGGTTTTCTTCCCAGCCATTATTTTACCTGGTTCCTTATATTTGTGTCCACAGGAGGAAAGGTTTTTGAAATTACTTCTTCACTTTTCACCCTTGTTGTAAGTCCAGGCCTTGAAGCTCTAGCCTCTCATGAAGGCTACAGTGCTCTGGTTGAGATGCTTATCATGGATCACCACCATTATAGGGGACAGGGCACCCCATGCTCAGGCAGCAAGGTGCCCCTGCTTACACAGTTCCCCCAGCCCAGAATGGTAGGCTGGACTCTCACTGCTCCATTAAAGTGACACACAGTTAAAAAAAAAAAAAAAAAAAGAAAGAAAGAAATGCAGGTATGTCTTGAGTATTTTATTTTTGCTTAAAAATGAAAGAGGACAACTGGGATATCTCTCTTTTTTGGGGGGGGGGTTGAGACAGGGTCTCACTATGTAGTTGAGACTGACCTGGAACTCACTGTGTAGCCCAGGCTGGTCTCCAGCTCACATCGATCCTCCCTCCTCTGCCTCCTGAATGCTGGAATTGCAGGCATGCGCCACCAAGCCCAGCTTGGGATATCTCTTGATAAAGGGATAAAGCAAGCCTTTTTAAAAATTTAAGTGTTATGTTTTGCTTTTGGTTGATTGACAGCTGTCAGGAGAATTCTAAGCCACCATCCTGGCCATGTACCACACCCAGAGTGCAAGATCTGTAGCTTATAATTTTAGTTTTCTTAAGTGTAGTCAGTCCTTCAGGAAGAGGCTAGTTTGTGAACTGGAGCCCCTCTCTAGTCTTCTCAAGTTTCACTCACATTAGATTCCATTGTAGAACTTTTTGGTTAGTCTAGTTGATTCTTAGCTCTTCCCCCCACATATACACACATTTTTCATCAGTTTGCATAGCATATACTTGGTGATTGTCATTTATACATAATGCAATATCAGACACAACTTCCATGAACAGGTTTGGGAATAAATCCAAGTGATCAGGTAGTGTGAGTAAAAGAGCAAAGACGTAACTCTTACCCTTCCTTGGGCCTTGAAGTTTGAGAACAAGAGCTTTTAGGTCCTCCGCTATGAGTTAGGAATTCTATCAGTGTCTGCTTTGTGTAAAGTGATAGGGAAGGAAGATTTAGTTTGTGCACCCAAGCACAACTATGTGGAACAGCTAACAATAATCATAAATAATACAAATAACATTTTTTTTTTTTCCTCTGCTCTCCCTTCACCCCTCCTCCCCTCCCCATCTACAAACACTTTATTTTCATCTTTTCATTCTCTCACATTTTTTTCTTTTCCCTTTTTGTTCTTCCCCTACGTATCACACCTTCCCTACACCTTTAGCTCCTTTCCTCCCATTTCTAAATGTCAGTAATCTTATTAGAATCTTATGCATTGTTGCAGAATATTCACACCAGGGAAACATAAATAATACAAACAACATTTTAATGTGATTTAAAACACCTCTGGGTGACTCAGGCTTAACCAGAGGTGGGAGCAGTCAGACAGGAAAGAGCCAGGTCAACTGGGGAAGGTTTCAGGCTTTAGGCCTTGAAATATTGTTGGGTTTAAAAGAATTATGGTACTGTAATCCCAGCACTTGGGAGGCTGAGGCAGAAGGACTTCCCTGAGTTCAAGGCTCGACTGGGCTACTTGGTGAGTTCGAGAACAACCTGAAAAACAAAAAATAGTGATAGAACATACAGTACTGACTATTAAATATAATTATGATATTGTACAACCATTATTGCTACCCTTTTCCAGAATTTTTTATCATCCCAAATAGAAATGCCACTCATTAGGCAGTAAACCTCCATCCCCTAGCCCCAGTTACCTCAGTTCTACTTTTTGCCTCTGAGCTAATCCTCCTGTAGGTACCTCATATACATGGAATCAGCCAGTGTTCTGTCTCTGGTTTACTCCACTTAGTATAATAGTAGTCAGGTCCCTTGTGTTGTAGAACGCATCTGTGGTTCATTTCTTTATGTGTCTCAGTAACACTGCATTGTACGTGTAGATCACATTTGATTTATCCATTCCTCTGCTGATGGATACCTGGGTTGTGTACACTTTTGGGCTATTATAAATAATAATAGTATGAATACTGTGAATAATAGTATTGTGAATAATAACTGCTATAAACGTTGCTACACAAGTGTCTGTCTGAGTCCCTGCTTTGAATTTTTTGAGTATAGATAAAAATTATACCAGCAACAGGGGAGACATTGGAAGTACCTGAAGAGCCTGTGAGCAGTGGACATTTCAGCATTGCTTTTTTGTTTTTTGTGGGTTTTTTTTGGTACTGGGGATTGAACTTGGGTCCTTGTGCTTGCGAGGCAGGCAGCGGCACCACTGAGCTAAATGCCCAGCTAGCATTGCTTTTCAAAGCCTTACATTGCTGACTGTTCTTAAGTACCTCATTTGGTGAGTGAGCGAGGACTGTCTTTGAGGTCCAACCCTTAGCAGGGTACCAGGGATAAGTTCCTACTGAGTGTTACCTGTATTTCTTAGTCAAGCGTTCATTACTGAAGTCTGTCCCGAGAGTGGCAGTGTGGTGGGTTTTGTTGTATAACTTTTTAAAAAAAATTAACATATGTTCAGGGAACAGAAATAACTCTTTTTGGTGTATGTACTGGGGATTGAGCCCAGCACCTTTGCACTGAGCTATATTCTGAGCCTTTTTAAAGTTTTAAGATGGTACCTTGCTAATTTACTAAATTCCCAGGTTTGATTCTAGCTTCTGATCCTCTTGCCTCAGCTTCAGAGTGTGGGGATTATGGATGTGCCCCACCATGCCTGACTGAAAACAACTTTTAAACAAACATAATGTAGTCAAACATAATTAAGGAAGTACATTTACTAACACAAAAAGTCTTGAGGTGGGTAAAATATAATTCAGTAAATATTTGTTGAGAGCTTGCTGTGTGACAAATACATTACTTGATGTATAATTTCAGAGCTGTTTCAAAGTTCACTTGATTTACCTTTTGAAACATTTTCCTTTAATGTGAATCAATGTCTAGCTCTCTCCTGCCCTCCTTCCCTCTCACAAATCTCTACATTTTTGTTAATTGTGAGACCATTATAATAATGTTGAAGATACTTGGGAAACAAGGGAATACACATTACCCACAGTCCCATCCTAATAAACCCATTTTTATTTTATAGTATGAATTTGAGGGTTGAACTTATAAATCATTTGAAAGTGAAACCCTGACCGCTCCTGATGGTAATTATTTTAAGAATTCTTTCATAGAACTAGAAGTTAAGCATGAGTAATGATCTTGATTTTGCAGGTCTTGTGCATGCTAGGCAAGTCCTCTATTCACTGAGCGATATCCTCAGCCCTTTTAAAATTTTTTATATTGAAGCAGGTTCTTGCTCAAGTTGCCCAGGCTGGTCTGGAACTTGCTATCCTCCCACCTCAGCTTCTTGAGTAGCTGGGATTACAAGCGCGTGCCACGGCACCTCACTGCATAGCTATTTTAATCAATGAGATAATCCTTCTTCTTAGTGGACCAGTAGAACTAGAATGTGTCACCTTTTAGGGGCAGGGCAGCAAATTGCAGCCACATAGGGACAGCACAGTTAGGAGCCTGTCTTGCCTTTTTCATGTTCAGAGGTTGAAGGGAATGTTTTTTGCTTGTGCTAGGGGCATGGGGCCATATGCTTATGTGAGAGCTGAGTCCTTGCATTGGTATAGGATGGACCAGGTCCATTGTTAAGTGTGTGGTGTGGCTGACTGTGTTGGCAGGATTTAGGGAGGGTAGGTCATCATAACCCAGAGGTTCAGGGAGCCATATCCATGAGAGGATGTCCGTCAACTGTGCTTTCCTCACAACTGGAAGAAGGACTGCTGGAGAGGGTAAGTCTTGGGGATGCAAGCAGAGAAGTGGTCATGGCGGGGGTGAAGAATGCTCTCAGGACTTTTAGCTGGTCAGGATAGGAGAGGGAGGCTGGGTCTGGGGCAAACAGCTGGAGAGGAATCCTATGAAGTTCTTTTTAAGTCTTTCATGAGGCCAGTGTTGGCTGCTGCCGCTGCTGTACCTGTTACAAGCTTTGATGCTGGCGTGAAGGGGATCTGGACTGTGAATCTCAGTGTTAGGAAGTGTTTGAGGTGGTGTTGGGCCTGCAGGGAAGTGTTTGAGAAGGGCTGTTCTCTCCCTTTGAGATGCTACGGCTTGCTGTGGTAGGGCAGCAGGAGGAAAGGAACCTGGGATGTGCAATGGGAGGCTCCCTAGGAAAGATGGCCAGGGTTTGCTGCTGTAGGGAGAGAAGTCAGCCAGGAGCACATGGGCCACATTCACAGAAACAGGAAGTAGTGAGTCCAGACTCTTGGAGGGCTCATAAGAAGTTCTGTTTCTAGAATACGTTGAGTAGCATATGTTTTGTGTTCACTATGTGCCCAAGCACAGTTTTAAGTGCTTTGCACAAAAGGCTTATAAAACACGTGCTGCTTCCATCCCCACTTTTCACATGAAGAACCTAGGCAGAATTGAGTAGTCACTTGCCCCAGGGTCACTAAGCGGGCACAGCCAGGTTGCAAATCCAGTCAGTCTTAATTCAAGAGCCACACCCTCACTCAGTCTGCTAAAATGCTCTACCAGTGTCTGTCTGAAGTAAGATCGACTGAGGAGAAAATTGAATTTATTGAAATATATTGCAATAGAAATCTTCTGAGAATTTTTGGATCAAATTCACTATCAATGTTATGAGACTAAGTGTGGACCACTTCTTTGTAAAAGGCGGTAAATAATTAAAACAATATAGTAGCATCTCCATTTGTTGCTGCTTCTGTCTTCATTAGTTTATGCACTGTACAGCTCTGGAAACAATCCCAGCCACTCTGTGCCCTGATTCTGGCTGCTCCACTTAGGTTCAGGGCCCTGTAGACACAGATTGTCTCAGCCTATAGCACTTCTCACCTCAGTGTTGCTTAATAACATTTAATGATTATAACTGACATTATTATTATCAGCAAATCAAGCCTGCCTGCCTGAGAGTCTTTTGGTCTGAGGTGTACTTTGCTTGACACAATGGGGCTGTATCAGTGCCTCAAGTTGAAATATTTGGATAATAAATAGGAAATGAGGCTGGTCATCTCTGCACACTGTGAAGGGAACAGTTTCAACCTTCTCTTAGCACTTTTGGGTGTCCCCTATCCATAGACTCTCTTCCTTCTGTCCTCACATGTGAGCAGTTCTGTTTCCTTTACTTTTCAGCCTTGTTTGGCAACAGATTTATTTCTCTGTCTTCTAGTGCCATAGGCATCCAAGGAGAGGTCTACACTTGGAACCTTTAAACCTGGAGCAAACAGCAAACAGCAATTTCCACTCCCCTGAACTGTGTTCTTAGATTTCCAGTGGTCTCTGTAAGGGAGGACTCTTGTTCATTCCCTGTGATCTTGCTCTGGTCCCTGCCCTGGGAACTCCACACTCGCTTTGCAACTTTCTGATGTGTGGTCTTCCATGTCTCTCTCCTTCCTTTTTAGCAGTACTCTTTACAAAATCTCTTGTGACTCTTCCTACTCCCTCTTGGCTGGTAGAGAGCCCTTTGAGATTGGTGCTTTTTTTTTTTTTCTTTGATGATTTGGTCCTAATTTTTTTTTTTTTTTAAACTTCACAAGTCATCCCTGTGTTGTGACCATCTTGAGTTTCAGGTCATAAGCAATCCACTGTTGAGAAGTCCATTCACCTACCCATAACAGGTGCCAGTAGGTCTGTGCTTTCCTGTCCCAATCCCTTGCTGGTCATGCTGTGTCCTCGGCCTCTGCCGTCCTGAACTTGTGAATGACCAGGCTTACTCTTGATGCTTTTATGTTTTTATACCCATGCTCTTTGCTCCATCTTCCCAGTTTTTTGCTTGGATGGCTTTTACTCTTTCTTAAGAATTTAAGTCAGCCTGTCTCCAACCTGGTGGGGAAGGGGGCACAAATCCCATGCACATGAACTATTTTCTTTAATTTCTTTATTTTTTTACTTTACTTTGTTTGTTTGAGACCAGGTTTCACTTTGTAGTTTCTGGTCTTGGACTCACTGTGTATCCCAGGCTGGCCTCCAACTCGCAGCGATCCTCCTGCCTCAGCCTCCGAGTGCTAGGATTACATGTGGGTGCTGTCATGCCCAATTCATTTTCTGAATGATCCTGCAGAAGCAGTTGAAAGCCCTCAGCAATTCTGTTGTGCTGTTGGCCTAGCCCATCTCCCCCTGGGACCTTTTCTTCTGCTCCTTCACCAGATCATCTATGAGTCAACCTTCTGGATTTTATATTCCATGAAAACCTGTAACTGTTAACATGTTCTTTTGCTCATAGTGTCATCTTCTTTATTCTTAACTTTTTACAGTGCGTTATTGCCTTGCTTGCAGCACGGTGCTTTCCATATCTCTCCTTGGATTGCTGTGGCACCTGGCTGTGAATGCCATTTTCCCCTGAAAAGCGTGTAGTGAGTCTGCATGATCTGTGGTACCTTGCAGGTATCACACCCAGATGTGCAAAGCTCTTGACAATCCGGTTCCATCCTACCTGATCTTACCTCCCAGCTCCACCAGGCTGTTTCTGTGTAGCTCAAGAGGCCTCACATGCCATCCTCCGTGCCAGCCCTTTCCTTGTGCCACCTCCTGCTCCTGCTTTGCCTTTTCTGATATGACAAGGTGCTGCCCACTTCCATTCAGCTTTAGCTTACAGCTGTAGTTCAGTTATTCTGGCACGTAGATAATTTGTTCTTTAAGCTCTGAAGAGTGTAACGCTAATGTGTCACACCAGCACATACTTTTCCCTCAGCACTCAGCACAATGTTTGTGTAGATACTTGAATACCTGGATGCATGCAATGAACGCTTGGTCTTGTAAATTTTCTAAGGTTCGGGTCTTATAGCATCTACAGTGTGCATCTTTGTAAACTAGATACACTTATTTCTTATCTAGGAAACATCTAGGCATTAGGTCGATGACTTTGAAACCTAGCATATGCCACAAAATAAGTCATGATGTGATCTTATTAAAGAGATGATTATTTTCTGTCTTTTTGTTTGGAGATTTGTGAATGGTTCTTTTTTTCGTGAATATCACCATGTAAGGAGAATTAGATGGGAATAAGTGAATTCATGAAGCTTGAAGAAAAACCCGGAGATATTATGCCATGTACATTCTGCCAAAAGAGTGATTGGCTAATTTTTCTTTTTTTTTTTGCTTCCACAGCGTGAGATTTTTTAAGCTGACTGTCAGCATGTCAGCACCATGACAATGGTCCACGATCAGAATGGAAATTTGACCCATTTGTGTGCTTAACCCTAAGAAGGCTATGGCATCCAGCAAGTCCCAGCTTGCACACCAAATATGACCCTTAAGATTAACTGAGGGTTGCACAGAATCACTGTGTAGGTGAATTTAAGAAACTTAAGATAGAACTCTCTCTCCAGCTGTAAATAGCAGGGCAGCTTCATCCTACTTTTTATTGTAGAGTGCACAGGAGATGAAACTCAGTATTAGAAGAAATGCTTCATTCTGCCAAGGAAGAAGATCATACTCAACACAATTCTTATTTTTCTTGGCAGGTTCTCCTCAGCCACCTGCAAGTCCAGGGGAGCCGTCTCCCCCGTCCATCCTTCCTGCACAATCAGAGTTAATAGTCAGAGCTGGTGACCAGATCAGGCTGACATGCACTGATCCGGCCTTTGTCAAATGGACTTTCAAGACCCTGGGTGACGTGAGTGAGAATAAGGACAGTGAATGGATCAGAGCAGAAGCTGAGGCTGCCCACACAGGCAAATACACGTGCACCAACAGAGACGGCTTAAGCAGCTCCATTTATGTATTTGTTAGAGGTAAATGCTTGGCTTCGTGTGATGTTATGCTTTAGAAGACATACACCTTGTTCTTATTTTGTACGACATGTAGATGACTAAGCTGTAGGTAAAATTTTATTGGCTGTATCTAAAAGCCTAAACCAAGTGTTTCTTTGTTGGTATCCACAAGCTTTTGATACATGGTGGCTTCGAGTGTGACCACAGCTGGAGGTTTGCAAGGCTATGATGTTCTTCCTAATGAGATTACAGTATGTTTAGCCCATTTGTGCCAGTGCTCTGAGTAAACCCTGAGAACAAATTATGCCCTTTGGGACAGCAGCATCTTAATGCCTTGAGATTCTAGATATTCTCACTTAGTAAAAATGCTTCAGGGAACCAAAGGCCTGTAAAAGTCTCAATAGACCTGTACTTCAAAAGATTTGGCCCACTCTTAGTAAATTGAAAAAAAAAAATCAACTCGGTCATCCTGTGTCTGTCACAGATTCTTTGTAGAGTTGATTTCCTTAAAAAATGCGATCTCTTAGAAACAAAATAAGAAGAAATGTGACCTTTGGCTTTCTATACTTCATTTCCTTTGACAAATTTAGTGACTCATCTCTGTGCTTTTACTGTCTTGCTGGGCAGGGCTATATCCTTTGGCTGACTAAAAACTGAACTAAGTTTAAGAGACAAATCCAAGTTACTGGAGGAGAAATAAGTCCTAGTTCTTGTCCTTGGTGTAAAAGGCCTGGGGCTATCATTAATGACAGGCCTGAGGTAAGAAGCCTTATCCGAGGTACTGTGATGACTAGTGGATAGGCTAGAACCTGTTTCCTCCCTGCAGTGTTTGGATAAGGTAACCTGCTCACTCTGCCTTAGGGAACTGTGAGAGGGAGAACGATATAAATTCTAGCATGCTCTATCAGGGGTTAATAAAGCTGACCCTAAGGATTGCCATGAAATTGACTATGCCTCTCCTCAGTTATCAGCTGTCCTTTGTCCTTTCCTAAGTGGGTGGCTGAGAAGAAATATGCACAGATAAGCCATAGCTTAGCTTTGGGCTTTGGTCCCATTATTGTTGAACCAGCTCCTGTGTGTATAATTTCCAGGTGGTAATGAAGTATCATTCTGCTTATTAATAGGATGGGTGGAAAACTGAATACTTGAGGAAAACTGCAGAATTAGCCAACTCACTCACAGTGTGCAAACACTTCTATAAGTTAGATCTACCCATAATTATTACACTGTAAGACACGCAGATTCTGAAGTAATCCATGTCACAGCCATGAAAGAAAGCAGGCCGTTGTTGTGAGAGAGAGACTGGACTGAAAACGAGCAGACAGAAAAACAAACAACTTTTGCTTCAGATCATAATTTGACCATGATAATGTAACTCATTCACAGGGAAATTATTTAGGCTAAGAGGTATGTACTTCATTTTTGTCATTGTTTTGAAACTTAAGTGATATAGGTATATTTTAATGATGTCAAATTCAGCTTTGTGGAACACTTGATTTCCAAATGGAAAGGACAATTTATGAAAGATTTTTAAATGTAATCAGCGGACCCACCCATTCATCTGTGTTATCGATCACACAAAGCGGGTGGCAGCAGGCTATGCTACAGAACACACAGGCTTGTCTTTGCTCATGGGACGTCTCCATTTGCTGGTGCCGTTCCCTGCCTATGTTGGTGTTGTGGTGTAATGGTCCAGTCTGACCCTTTGCACTCACAAGTGTTCTACTGTGGGCAGTACAGTGTCTGCTGTGGTGGTTCTTGAAAATCATAAGCTCTTCTTGTGCACTTAAGATTATTTATTTTCTTGATGTTATATATTTCTCCTCAGGAATATGAAGGTTGTGTGTCCTGCCCAGTCTGCTCAGAGTTGTCTAGATTTCCTTCAAGAGCTGAACCATTCTGAAGCCTGGCAGCTCTTGAGAAAGCTTCCCACACAGGGGTTAGAGGCAGCGAAGGCTTCCTGTGCCCTCAGTTGGAATCAGACTATCTTACTCTTTGCTGCTGTTCTCTTACTAAAACATTCTCAGGGTCTTAAGAACTCAAGTTTTGGAATCATTCAGATTTGGATTTGAGGTCTGCACAGCATTTTCCAGGGTATGTCACTTGAGGAGTGTCACTGTTTTGAGACTTGCTTTTTCATCCATAATGTGGTGATAATGATAAAGGTTGAGTCATCCCAAATCCAGAAATCCAAAATCCAAAATGCTCTGAAATCTGAAATATTTTCAAGTCCAACATGACACTCTTAAGTTTTGGATTCTGGATTTCAGATTAAGGAAACTCAGCTGGTAATGTCTATACAAATATTCCCAAATCTGATATACTAACGATCTCAAACATTTTGGAAAAAGGCTGCTCAATGTATGGTACCCAGAGACATTGTGAAGATTGAGATAAAAAGTATATAGTAGTCCAACCTTAGTCCCTGACACATGGCAAGTGTTTAATAAATGGTCACTCTTACCTGAAAGTACTATCTGGATAAATTTTTGCTTGCACAGAGATTTGACTACATAAAAGGCAACATTTTAGATCTCTTAAAAGTGCTTTCTCTGACCAGCCATTTAAACTATTGATTTTTGCTCTGTTTATAGATCCTGCCAAGCTTTTCCTTATTGGCGTTCCCTTGTTTGGGAAAGAAGACAATGACACACTGGTCCGCTGTCCTCTGACAGACCCAGAGGTGACCGATTATTCCCTCAAGGAATGCGAGGGGAGACCTCTCCCCAAGGACCTAATGTTTGTCCCCGACCCCAGGGCTGGAATCACCATCAGAAACGTGAAGCGTGCTTACCATCGACTCTGTTTGCGTTGCTCAGCCAGCCGGGAGGGCAAGTTGGTGCTGTCAGACAAATTCATCCTGAAAGTGAGGGCAGGTATGTACAGTTCCTTCCTTCCTTCTGGGCATTAGAGACTTTGTTCAAGATGCTTTCTCTCTTCCTTGCTGATCAGCCATAGTGCAAGTGAGTGGGACCCAGGCTCTTTATTAGCTCCCTGTGTCTTCCAAATAGATCCAGCTGCTTGTGGTTCCTCATTTCACAATCCCAAACCCAGGTGGTGATCTGTGCCTTTCACTAGCTGAGGTGGGTGTGTCTGCTGTAGATTGGCATTTAGACCACCCTGGGATGATCGTAAACCCTACTGGCTTAGGTGGTGCCACATTTGTGTGATTGCATCATGTGTTGGTACAGTGAGGGACACAGTGGAAAAGAGCTTTACATATGCTATTTGAAATAATCTGCAAGTGAGCCATGCTCTTCCCCACAGTCCTGGGGTGAAACTGAGGGCCTCATACATTCTAGGCAAATGCTCTGCTGCTGATCTACACTCTCAGCCTGTGACTTTAAGACAGGGTGTCTAAATTGTCCAGGCTGACTTTGAATTTGTATCCTCATACCTCAGCTTTCTGAGTCTCTGGAATTACTAATTCATCCTTAAATTTACAATAGACATGTGAATTGACTTTTCTCTTTCGGCACTTAATTTTGATGCATTCTCAAACTATTTGAGAATTGAAAAGGAAAGTAATAAGTGACAGTGGGCCTTGTTATTATTGTGGCATTATAAACACTATTTTCGTAGCTGGAAAATGATCTAGATTTTGAGATTACCTTATTCAGTACCAGTTGGAGTTCAGCTTTTGAGTACAGGTTTTATTAAGTCTTTTGAAAAAATAATGCTTCAAATTAAGAAAAACATGATTATTTAAAAGTTAGAATTTTCAGAAGTGTGCAAGGTATTATTTGTATAGCATGTGGGAAAGGTGCCTGTTTGGTTACAAGAATATAATTACTTGTAATTCAGATCCCATGAAATCATAAAGCTGCTTCACGGTGCCAGGGTTTTCTGTTTAAAAAAAACAAACATTTTTCAGAAGCAGTGTGATCTCATGTAGACATGCTTACCTCGCCAGTCAGTGTTAATGAATTTACCTAAAGGATATGTGGCTTAATTATGGAGGCCTCCAGATGTGCAATAGTACGGGTAGGCCCGTATCACGTTTTGTGTTTTATTTACAAGATGACAGAATAAGCCATGCACAGTGTTAAGGTTTTGTGCTACAATAGAGCCAATTATGAGAGAGCTACCTTTCTTTTCATTGTAGCCATCAAAGCTACACCAGTTGTGTCTGTATCCAAAGCCAGCTATCTTCTGAGGGAAGGGGAAGAATTTACAGTGACATGCACAATAAAGGACGTGTCCAGTTCTGTGGGCGCAATGTGGATAAAGGAGAACAGTCAGGTGAGTGGATTATTTCTTTAATTATTCTTAATCTATTGTTCTTGCTGTGTGGGAGATTTTAAGGTTTTTCTTTGAAAGCACATGCTGGGCGTGAGTCCTCTGGCATATGTCTGTCTAGTCCTAGTTGTCTGGTTCAGATGCACCATGCCCATTACGCACTTCCACTTAGTGACAAATGGCTGTCATGTTGTAAATTCTGAGAAAATTGTAAAGATGCCATCCTTGGGTTGCTGCTTCACGCTGTTTCTGTGGATGATTTTAGTAGGGACATTAAAGAAGAAGAATGGTTAATTGCATAAATAAATAGCTTGGTTTGAAGCAGTTTTGCTTCTCTGGCCAGATGTCTTAAGATAGTAGAATTGTCTTTTTTTTTTTCTCTGTTTTTACAAAGAATAAATAATCTCAGATAGGAACAAGAAAGCTCTTTTCTCCCCCACAGAGTGGCCTCATCATTTGAGAGGTGTTCAGGTGGGAGGTAGGGGTCTGACTTCCTCCTTTGAGGCTGGTTAGCTGAGATTAAGTTGCTTATGCTTTTGTTTGTTTTAGTTACCATTAATAAAATGGTTATCTTTAATCTGAAACATTTAGACATGCTTGGGTTCTCATTCATGTAACAAATGCATATTCAGTGACTGCTATATGTGTGTTAGACATATCTTTTGTGTGTGTGCATGCATGCACCGTGCATACACACACAATGCTGGGGATCCAACCTAGGGCCTCGCACATACTAGGCAGGCATTCTGCAACTGAGACACACACCAAGCCAATTTTAGTTTTATTTGAAGATTTTTTCTCTCTCAATACTCACATTAATAACAAGATTTAAAAATTGTCTTCATTTCTCCAATATTTTGCTTTAAAATTCCAATTGAGCTAGTTTTCAGTAATTTTTTAAAAAATAATCTTGGCCACTGAGTTAACTATTACAGTGGTTCTCTTCATTATAAATGTATATATTAATTAGGAAAAAAGTACCATAGTTTATTTCTCTTCTTCCTCCTCTTCGTGATTCCCTGTATTCAACATTGGCAATTTCATTCCTATTTAAAGATTCTTTGCTCTTCAACCAGCTGAGGCAATTAGAATAATGCAGAGACATTGTGGTGGTATTCGTGTGGACGTGATGGATGGTATCTGACTAAATCAAGCCTGCCATTGATCTGGAGGGTGGGGGTGGTTTGGATCAGAGACTTCAAACTGGTGGCCCAGGGAAATAAGTTTTAGTTTTCATGCCATATAATGTAATAAGAATAATGGCTTTTATATGGATTTTTCGCTAACTTTACAGGACACAATCCCATATTAATTGGCTTTCTATAATCTTTGATTTCAGATGAGAGGATAATTTAGACTGTGTGTGTACATTTGAGCCTCTGTGTAACTTGAAAATTAGCCTTTTTGAGATGAGAAATTAAATTGCCCCAGGCGGTTTTGTTCCGCCCCATTTTTCCCAGGAGTCCTGCATGCCGGTACCAATTAATCCACTGGCACTGGTAGATAAACCTTTAGTGTTGGGAGCTCTTTGGGGAAATCCCAGTGTGCACTGCCAAGGGTTAAAAAAACCAAATCACGTGCGAACAATATGTGATGTGTGACTTGCAGATGGGGCTCCTGGATCTCTGCCAACATTCACCCATGAATTTTGTTATTGATATTTTTGGCTTAATTTGGAATACTGTTAGCACTATTAAATTATTTTTAAAATCATAATTTTAATCCTGATCATTTACAATCAGGTTAACTTACAATGAAATATAGGGTAAAAATGAGTTCTAGGCTTATTGCAATTATTTAAGCATAAGAATCTTGGCATTTATTCAACACTAGTTAATCTTAGTTAGCCTTTCTAATGGTTCTAGAGTCTAGTATCTTTCCTTGCTTTTAATTCTAAGCTTGACAGTATCATAAATTACGAAATTTTGGTTTGAATGTGAATATTGCTTCACTTAGGACCATGCCACTTGGTCTGGCGTTGACCAGTATTACTGATTAGCTCCGTGTTGTGGACTCTTAGACTCATGAAAGAAGTAGAGGGAAGATATGTTCAATTTAGAATTTACTGTGTTATCTAATCAATGTCACTGCCTTTGGAGAGAAACCTGAAAAAACAATGACTCAAGAAAGGCCAGTAGGAAAATGTCACTTTGCTTTGCTGTTGCCTCTTCTTAGTTATTGATCTTATGCAGTGAGATGGCACATTTCTGCCAATTATACAGGAAACTCAGAAGGAGTGGCTTCAAATCCAGTGTTCCAAACTGGAGAGGTCCTGAAAGACACGTTTATTCCTTTATACCCTTTTAGGACAAAAGCTAAGACTTGACAAGAGTTCACAGCTGTAGCAAAGCCAGTGTCTGTGCTTTTTAGTCACTGTTAGCAGTTAACTTTTATACATGCTTATTTTGGTGTAAATTTTTTTTCAAAAATTGGGTTGGAGAATGTAGCTCAGTGGTAAAGCACACACCTACAAAGTGCAAGGCCTAGGAATTAATTCCTAGACTTGCTCCACCAAAAATTCCAAAAACATAATATCACTAGTTTGAAAAAAAAAAAGTAATAGGCATAATTCCACCTTGGTAGAGAGTAATGCCATGTAACAAAAATGCAACATGAACAGACCTCATGTGCACATTTAAATTTGTCAGTCACATTGCAAAAACCAAAAAGGTAAAATTGATTTTAATAATATATCTTACTTGGCCCAGTGTATCCAAATAGTATTTCATCCTATAATTAATGTTATTAATAAAATGTTTTAAATTAGTTTTTTATAGCAAATCATCAAAATCTGGGATGTGTTTTATACATATTTATAGCATAACTGAATCTGTCAAGTACATAGTGGTCACAAGTTGCTAGTCTTTATAACCTGTCATTGTTTTTCATATTTTTGTCTCTTTTCCCATGCATATTTCATCACAATTATAGTTTTAAGGTACATTCAAAGTATGCTTTTTAAGTCACAGTGATTTATTTGCCACATAGCCATAATTTTTGTTATCTCTACATGATAGACAGTTCAAGCTTTTTGCTGCATCTTGGAGTTATGTCTTCTGTTAAATTATTTTCTTGAAATAAACTTGCTGAGTTAGTTGGGGTATGAACACCCTAGAAAGCTGCTTTCTGGGAGGTGTGTTCTGACTCACCAAACTGGCCTACAGTCTGACCATTATCAGGGCCACCATGGCCTGGCCAAGAAATCGCCCTGGATATCCTGTTCCATGTCAGTAACAGCTCTCGTTCACTTTGACTTGATAGTTGGTATGTTTTTCCCATTGTAATAGGAATGTGTGTACATTACTGAAAATTTGGAAGAGGTAGAAAGCTATTTTCAACTCTTTCTTAAATCTTTTCAAGAGAACTACTGTAGTTTATGTTATGGTTTTTCATATTTTAAATGCAAGCAATATCTCCAGGGTCTTGTCTGAAGACAAATAATGACTGGGTGGGGATAGCACAAGGGTAAATTCATAGTCCTTTCTCTTCAGCCACTGCTTAAATACTTTGGGCCTTGATCTTCTATGTCTCACATACCTTGGCACGCCCTTTAGGAGTTGTAAAGAATGTGCTAAGAACTGTAGGGTGAATTTCCAAATTAGTTGAATGCAGCCTGATTCTGTTTTTATTTCTGCAGATAAGAAATGTTTTGTTTTTTTATATTTTTTTTTCCAGCTTTAATTGAGTTTATTGGTACATTTTAGGGATACAGTACAGTTACATTCATTGTTGGGATCTTGTACCTCTACATGACAAGTCTTGATTCTCATTTTTTCCCCTTACCTCTGCCCTCCCTTCACCCACTCCTCCCCTCCCCATCTACAAACACTTTATTTTCATCTTTTCATTCTCTCACATTTTTTTCTTTTCCCTTTTTACTCTTCCCCTATCCATCCCACCTTCCCTACACCTTTAGCTCCTTTCTTCCCATTTCTAAATGTCAGTAATCTTATTAGGATTTTATGCATTGTTGCAGATTATTCACACCAGGGAAACTATTCGGTATTTACACGTGTGACTTATTTATTTCACTTAGGAGTATATATCCACTATGTATCCATTTTCCTATGAATGAATCTATTTTCTCGTTCTTTATGCCTGAATAATATTCCATTTTGTAGAAAAACCACATCTTCTTTATTCAGTTTCCAGTGGATGGGCAAATGGGCTGTTTCCAAGATTTAGCTATTACAAACTGTGCCGCTATAAACATGGGTGCGCATACTTCTCTGCAGATAAGAAATGTTAAATAAAACATTGTTAGTAGCAGTGTGTTTTTTTTTCAGTCACTGATATATAGAACAGAAAAAGATGCATAACATGAAATGTTAATATAAGTATGCTGACTCATAAAATAGCAGTATTCTGTAATTTTTAAAATAGTAAAGTTTTTTTTTTTCAGTCACTGATATATAGAACAGAAAAAGATGCATAACAGGAAATGTTAATATAAGTATGCTGACTCATAAAATAGCAGTATTCTGTAATTTTTAAAATAGTAACTTAAAATCTAATACTGCAGAGAATTTGAAATTAGTGTTCCTTTTTGTAGTCATTAATAAGGACTATCCTTCAATATAATTCTGTAACATGAAGGGTTCCAATGACAGACTTGTCATGATGCTTTATTATTCCTACTTAAGTCATGTATAATGAATGCTAATATGAAGAAGTTAATTACTGCTATTTTTAATTTAGGAATGATGTTGCATAATTATATGGTAATCTTTGTTTTTTTCCCCTCCCTTTTGAAACCAGCTAACTGAAGATCAGGTAAAACGTAATAGCTGGCATCAGGGTGACATAAATTATATGGTAATCTTTGTTTTTTTACCCTCCCTTTTGAAACCAGCTAACTGAAGATCAGGTAAAACGTAATAGCTGGCATCAGGGTGACTTCAATTATGAACGTCTGGAAACACTGACTATCAGCTCAACAAGAGTTAATGATTCTGGAGTGTTCATGTGTTACGCCAATAATACTTTTGGATCAGCAAATGTCACAACAACCTTGAAAGTAGTAGGTAAATATCTTTATGGAAATGTATAAATTACTAGCAATAGCGAAAAGAAATAATGATAGACAGTTTCCTTTTTATGTAAATGGAATTCTAAGAACAGATTCTTAGAATTTTATTATCACTGAATGAATGAATGAATGAATATTATCACTTTAGGATCTTACAACTAGCACACAAAAGCAACTTCTACCATTTCCACAAAGGAAAGTGGAAAGATATTACTGAAGTTAAACCTCTCCTCCTCTGTGCTACCCACTCACCAAGTAAAGTATAAGTTGAGCTTTTTCTAAACTTCTATTCCTTGAAGAGAGGTCTGAGTTTTGAAGGTAGTGGTAGACTTAGAGCACAAATGCTCAGAGCCTGGAGTATTTTCCTCAGAATCTTTTAGGAGGGCTCCCCTGCCTGTGGTTCACTGTTTTGTCACTTGTTGGCTCTCACTCATTTTTGTTATGAGCTGAATTGAGCATGTATTGCCTTTTGTTTCTCTCTACTTCACCCTATTCTGCAACTGTAAAGATGTGGCATAAACTTTCTGGAAGGAAGCTCATTGGGACATGAGTTCTGTATAGCATCAAGGAAAACATGGTCACCTGTCCCCAACCCCTTCATACCTGGTATGCACAATTGCTTTATCCTTGTCTTTCCTACTCTAGAAATCCCACTAAATATTTGTTTCCCAAACATCTATTTAAAGAGAGCAGAGGATAGTGAGTTACTTGATGTTTCTGCTTTACTGAGAACAAAATAATTATTTTAAAATTATTTCATTTGCACTTAAAAAAACCCTTTTGAATATTATTTGAATTGAATCTGTTTTCTTGTCTTTTTAATGCAGCCATATTCTTACTGCTTGGCTTTGATTAAATACTCCAGGATGGTAAAGTTCACCATAATGAGCAGTACTAAAATGGTGCAGTATTTGTTTTCATATCTCCTTTCCCCTACCCAAATTTCTTCAATAATTTATGTAGCAGTATTTAGAGCTCTGATTTATCCCACAATCATCTCATAAAAGTTTGGTGTTTCTGAAGCCCATGTTCTAATGGAAAGTATCTCTCCAGACTGAACCAGAAAAGATGTTCACTTGCAATCACAAAGGCAGTACACAGAAAGTGTTACTTTCTCCCTCAATGTGACTATGAACCATTTATTAATTTGAATAGAGGACTGTGCTTTTAAAATATTAAACGCCATAAGCACTAATTTGCTAAGTTGATTAGGGAGCATGTTGATATATCAGCTTCAGCTCCAGAAAGCAATTAGTAAGGATGTTTTGAACATATTGTTGTATGTAATCGGATTTTAAAAATCCATTCATCAATTTCCAAGAATTATAAACGTGTGACTGGAAAGACTTGTGGTTGTGAAATTTGAATCTAGTTTTATATTGTTTTGGGAGTGAGGTGGTGGAATAGGAACAGGAAGAAACAAAGCAAAAAGTAATATTTAGGGACTTGGAATAGGATCTGGGTACCACATGGAGTGGGGGAAAGAACAAGGATGGGGACCATCCTGTGTTGATTTATTCTTAAATAATTTTTATAAAGTTATTTATAGCTAAATTGTACAATGTGATATGATCAGGATGTAGGTAAACAGTATAAAAGGTGAAGCAATGTAACAGAAATGCAGCATCTCCCACAGTTACACTTTTTTGTATACATGACAAGAGTAGCTGGAAGCTGACTGAATTTTGAGTAGGAGGCTTGCTACTTAACATTGATGCACCCTACTTTGTCTCTGCCTGCATTTTCTCTTCTGAGAAACGCAGCCTCTGTAACTCCTACGGTTGTGGAAAGGAGAAAAGGAAGTAGATTTTATGAAACTGTCAGTTATAGAGTTTGTGCTTCATTGAATGTTAATGCATCTCCAATTTCTTAATGCAGAAGTACATGAAAAAAATTATGCTTTGTGTTATAACAACTGCAGTGAAGTTCTTTGATTCTTTAGGTTATAGCAGCCATGGTAGAGTTCGCATAACTCTTACAGTCCATGAATTTGAAGCTCTTTCATTATAAGACATAATCGTATATTGAGAAAACTAGAGTAAAAAAATTTAGGAGGATTTAAGTATTTCTATATGACTGTTGTGAAAGAAATAATTTCAGTGCAAATATTGTTTGAAATATTTGAATATTTTGCATTGTGTACTGTCTGAATTTATGAACTTGAGAATCTGAAAATTTAATGTGCCTGTAGATCAAAACATTCCCTTGAAATTAACCAGAATTGCCTTAATAAATGGCAGAGAGTATGTAATTTGTGATTCACATGCAGGGTTGGGGGTTTCCATCTTCAATTTTTATTTGGGTGATTTTCAGTCTCACCTAAAAAATCCTTTTTTAATTGGTACAATGGAAAAAGGACAGTTGAACCATACTTTTTGTTTTGAACCTGTAGGAAACTAAAGAGTTGTAAAAACTATAGTGACATCCTCTTGTGAGGACAGTATATCTAACTAGATAGCACTGAAGTTAATGAATGATAATTTTGTAGTTCATGTTAAAAGTTTGAAAAATAATGTTAAGATTCTTTCATAATACCATTAATTTGATATAACCATTTTTAGGACTTTGGATACATTGCTTACATTTTTCTATACAAGAGTTTTAATTATACATACAAATTTATTTATATTCTTACTGTCTCTCACCTAAAATATATAGAGACTCTGGGATATGCTATAGTAAAAAGAGGCAAGCCTTGATGTCTCAGGCTTTCAGTCAAAGCTAGTCTCTGCTGTGTGGCTTTTGAGCCAGATATTTCATCTATAAATTAAAGGTTATAAGCTCTGTCTACAAATTAGAGGCTATCAATCTAGAACCTCTTTCTTTGTCTATAATATGGAGGTTAAAGCTTTATCTTTCACTATTGTCGGAGTAAACATCATGTGTATTAAGTATGCTGTATGTTAATGTATACTGAGGTGTCCAAGACAGTTGTTGCCACATGGTAAACATTCTATAAATAGTGACTATAAAAATAATATGAGCAATGATTTTATACCCCCTTTCAAACTCTTTATTATGTGACCATTTCTAAGACTATTATTTATCTAACCAGTTCTTTATTTTGTCATTTAAAAAATTATAAACAGTACAAATGACACTTTTTTGTATGTATCTCCATCCACCCCATTTTAAGAAGCCCTCTCCAATGAAAATTATAGGATTCGATTTAAAAATAGATAATTTAAAAAATATATATGGCTAAATGCTTTCTTAAAAGAACTGTGCCAGTTTTACAGTGTGTAATTCAGTGTGCTACTTTTATCACACTAGCAAGAGTCTTGAATTTATTTTAAATTAGTTTTTCTATTTTTAATAAGTGAAAAACAGTGTCATAGTTTTAGTTACTAGTTTAGCCAAACAATTTTCCTTCTGTGTTTTAGTGTCCTCTTTTTCCCATTACCCTAATTAATTTTACCATATAGATGGGCATTTTAAAATGTTTATTTATTTGAATCTTTTATGATAGATTTTTCTTCTGTTGCTTCCAAAAAGCCTAAGAACCTGTCCCCTTTTTAAAAGTCATAGAAGAGTCAACTCTGGCTTGGTTAAAAGTATGGTTTGACTGTTAACATGTTGTCTGATATATGAATAATATAGGATAAGATCTAAGTATTTTTCTTCAATATACAAAATGACATTGTTTCAATATTTTTTTTGGACATGACATCTCTTTCTTTAACTTATGACACCTTCTAATCACATGAACAGTTCTATTAAGTCTGAATCTGGGCCATTTAATCCAGATGCGTTTTAACCTAATAAACATTAAGGCTTAGTAGATTGAGAAGATTTTAGAGATGATGATAGATCTTTTAGATAATTGTTTCAGAGCCAGCAATGAGAGAGTATTTCCAGTGCCTGCCTTCTCCGGTTAAGACAGTGGGTCTGCGGGAGCAAAAGGGAAGGTAACAAAACCAGTTACAGTTTTCTTACTCATTATTATCGCCAGTTCCTACCGGAAGCCAGTCAATCATCTTGTAATTCCAAGAGAAAGTTATATTATTTGGTCAGGATAGAGTAGATAACAGTTTCTGTCTTATTTTAATTAGATAAAGGATTCATTAAGATCTTCTCCATGATGAACACGACTGTATTTGTAAATGATGGAGAAAATGTAGATTTGATTGTTGAATATGAGGCATACCCCAAACCTGAACACCAACAGTGGATATATATGAACAGGACCTCTAGCAACAAATGGGAAGATTACCCCAACTCTGAGAATGAAAGTAACATCAGGTAAGAATGAGTCTTGTGCTGGGGATCATGCCTGTGCCCCTCTCTTCACATTGACCTTCTCTGATGCCATTTCCATCACCCAATGCAAGAGAAGACCCCCAGTTGCAAGAGAAGAACCCCAGGTCAAGAAGTTTTGAGTCCTCAACCAAATATTCCCTTTTGCTGTGTTTTTAGAGGCGCATGTGCACACACACATATGCACACAGAATCTCTACCTCATTTTTTTCATTTTTAAAAAGGGCACAGTTCTTTCCTAGTATTCTGAAGAAAGCTCAAAGCAGTGACCATATGTTTAGGGCCCAATAAATAATTCTCTATAGAGAAAGAGGCAAGTTGGTACCTTTTCTTATTTCTTAAAACTCTTAAGGAAACAGTCATTACATACAGTAGCCCTGAGCTGAGCAGTGAACTCAAAAACTTTTACCTCAGAACACTCATTTGATCCTCAAAACATTATAATAAAAGATAGTATAATAATACTTTTTATATGCTATACATGCTTTTGCTTTCTGTCAGGCATGGTTCTAAGTACTTTACACATACTAACTCAGTAACTTCAACCCTCACAATCCTTACACATGGGCACTCTTATTTCCCCCATTTATGGGAGAGAAAACAGGTACAGAGGGTGAAATAATTTGACCAAGGTCAAATGACTGACAAGAAATAGAAGCCTGGGGATAGTTTGTGTGCTTCTCCAGAGAAGAGCTGTCATCTGTTGGAGGATTATGTGTGAGAGGTGATATGGGGTCCTGGGCTGAGGACTAAGGATTAGGCAGGGAAGAGGATGGATTTGGAAGATGTCCCAGTGATCAAGGGGACTGGAGGAGGTAAGAGCTAAAGATGCTCTTAGGTTAGATGATGAGGGAGGGGCCATATCATACAAGGAGGGGAGGAAGAAGTCAACTTTCTGAGGAAGGATAGTGAGGCCAGCTTGGGGTTTGTGAAATGTGATGCTGACAAGGTACTCAAGTGGAAATATCCAGATAGGAAGTATCTCCTGGAGGCAGAGCCTGAAATAAGAATTCCATGGCCAGGGCCGGGGATTTAGCTCAGCGGTTCGGTGGCCTGCCTTGCAAGCGCAATGACCCGAGTTCAATCCCCGGTACCAAAAAAAAAAAGAAAAAAAGAATTCCATGGCAAAAGATTTATGCAAAAGAAGAGACCTGTCATGTGATAGAGAAGGAACTAAGTAAGGCCCTGGATCGGGTGGCTTGGGGTACTCTGCACTTTTATATACCACATTGCAGCCACTCCTGGCCTGTAGACCTGGTTGAGCTGTCCACTCTCCAGCGTCTCTAAATATGCATGGCAGGTGTCAGGAGAAGGTTGTGGTGTGAGTCATGATGGCTGCACCTATAGCAAGAAGATGGGGGCACGCAGGCAGTTCAGAGGTGCAAGACAGGAGAGGTTGGAAGATTGTGTGCAAGCAGCAGATGGCTCATAAAATAGATTACCAGGTGTGTAGCGTGGAGAAAAGCAAGCAAGGCCACTGTGTGCCACTCCCCCAGGACAATCACATCGCACAGCTCAAGGGCCATATATGCCCAGTCTCCACACCAGCTCTGGCATCCCTGAAGTCAAGCAGAAATGTGAATGGCAAATACTACAACAGACCCGGGGAAGAGAAATACAGTATTTAGTAAGGGAGGAGGAAAACCAGGGGCTTGTGGCTTTGCAAGGCGGGCATGGCACTGAGGGGGCTTGAAGTATCAAAAGAAGATGGTGAATTTGTGGACATCAGCAGTATCACCAGGTGGGGAAAGCATCAAAGCCAAGCAGGACCGGTGAGTCTAGAACACTGGTGAGAGGGAGGCTGGAGAAAACACCACGGGCAGAAAAGGAAGTGGTGACAGGGCAGCCAAGGTGCAAGAAAAGACCACAGGCTGGAGGTGGCAGAATGGTCAGATAGCCTCTCTACATTCTTGTTCTCTCACACAGCAGGATCTGTTCCAAATTGTGCATTTCTTAGTATAGATTTTAATATGAATTAAATGAATCATATTTTCCTCCAAGCAGACGCGTACTTCCAGGTGGAAACTGAAAAAGACAGGGCCTTCAAGGGAGACTGTCTGCAGGAGGTTTGATTTATTGTCCTTTCTTTGTAGATATGTCAGCAAGCTTCATCTAACCCGGTTAAAAGCGACCGAAGGAGGCACTTACACTTTTTTTGTGTCCAACTCTGATGTCAATGCTTCCATGACATTTACTATTTACGTGAACAGTAAGTAAAATGAAGGGCTCCTTATCTCTCAATTTTTTTTTTTTTAATTTCACATTGTGGCTTGTGTTTGTAACAGCTGCCGAACTGAGCTCCTTGTGTACTATGTAAACAATGTTTCATGATAATTTTGACCTTAGCAAAGACCTCGTGGTTTGGTGGTTAGAAAAGAAAACCAATTCTTTGTCTTACATTTCACTGACCATGTGACCTTGTAGAAGTGGTTCAAATTCTGGGGGCCCCTGTGAAGTAAAGAGAGAAGCAGCAGAATTTGAAAGTAACAGTTGTTTGAGGGAAAATGTATTATTATCGATTGTTGAAACAGGGAACTTGATGTTGAATAGGAGCTGGGTTATGGTGTTGGGTGGGAAAGAGATGCTCTCAAAGCCCTGACATGATTCCTTTGTCACAGTGCTTTCTTGTTCAAGGCTGTGATGCTATTTGTGTTTAGATTGTTCTCTCACCTGGACCAGTGCAGCATTGATCCAGCTGAACAGGTCATTGCTGAGTACTATGTGAGGACTATGGGAACAGTAGTGATGGTTTAAGAGGGAGAGTGGCTGTGTCCTGCACTGCTGGGTCCCACCTACCTCCCACTCCCAACATCTTCTGAAAGAAATGTTGTGGCCAAGTGGGCATGAGCCTCACATGGAGCTTTTGCCAAATGCAGAACTTCTCCCAATTACTGTGGGTCTACCCAGCATATCCAAGGGAGGGTGGGTGGCTAGGTGCTTGCTTTCTAACCATATCTGCCTAGGGAAACCTCCAGAGAATTCCAAGGAATTCCAAGAGAGTGTTGCCAATAATCCCTGCTAGAATTGGCTATCCTCGGTGGGTGGGAATGGGGAGACAGCACAGAACACTCTCTACAGAACGACTTAGGAAATTGCTGGTGCTCTTTATATATTGGGCTACAGGAGGGAGTTGTGGGAACAAAGGCTGGGAGCCATTCCTTGCCCAGACGGAACTTTCTTGCAGTGACTTTACATCATTTACTCATTTGATATAGCTGCTCAGTAGGCTGATTTATTTATAAATGAAGCAAAAAAGGAGCCAGTAAGTGATACTGTGGACAAGTTTTTGATTGCTGATCTAGAGGGTTTTTGACACTTATCAGCATTTCCAAAATTGTGTTTTCTGACTAAGATGTTAATATGAGTTTAGATAAAGGGGTCATTTGCTTATTATTAAAGATATCTGTAAAAAAATTATTGGTCTTCCCAGAATCCTTAATATACTATCTGTAGTACATCTCTGTGGGGGAGGCCAGGGGAAGGAGTGTATCATCCCAAACTCAAAACTTTCACTTTCCAAATGAAACATGTTAATTAATTTCAATTTATCAGAATAGTTTTGATTATTTGGTATCTCGTTGGCTCTCAATTCAAATATTTCTAGATTAATTCAGATGTTAATCAAAGGAGCTTAATGTATTACTCATGGGCAAATTATCTTCTTCTTAAAAATCTTAATACTTAACTGATTTAAGAGATGACTGTAGGCAAATCAATATCCTTCTAAGTGTAATAAGAATGTTGTTCATATAAGACTTTATTTTAGGTCCTCTGGAGGCGGAGCTGTGTTTCCTTATCTATCACAAAGGACTTTTTCCATTTGCCACAAGATTCTCAGTTCATGTGGATCAATATTACTTGTAAAGTACAGTGAAAACCAATTACCAGACAAGTGAAATAAAGCAACAGAAGTACACAAAATGTAGCATGAGCTTTTTACCTTTTTAGAGTCCACACATATAACAATGACTGCCAAATCGCTACTTCCAAATACCACTTTCTCAGTTTTCAAGTCTTTCTCCTGGGGACCAGTGACAGCCGATATGGGTGTGGTGGGCTGGACAGAGGTCACTTGAAGATGCTTCACAGTGGGAACTTCATAAAATGAGATGCTGTATGCTTTCACTTTCCCTGGTATTCGGACCAGAGGGACATACAGATGTGATTCTTTTGCCCTCTTTCCTCCCATTTCTATTACTGTGATATGATCTGTCGGACTTGAAACCTTGACCCTAGAAGGACACTTTTGACTTTGGGGAAGGGAGTAGAATTGCTGTACATTTTACTTACCAAGCTAATTTGCCATTCAACAGGATCAGTTTTAATCACTTCTGGTGGTGAACTCATGCCTGTTTGAAACTAGATAAGATAGGCCACTAACCTTCCAAAATGACCACTCCCTGTTAGGAGGACACCTTTCCTATATTCTGGGGCCTAAATCTCCTATATCCAGCCAACCATTCAGTGAGCTCCTGCTGAACACACTGGGCATACAGATAAGGATAAAGTAGGCTCTGTCCTCTGAGGGCAAGCTCTTCAGGAAGTCTGTTTATCGATAGCAGTTTGTTACTAACACTGAGTTGACTAAATGCATTTATTTCACTTAACTAACATTGGATTTCTAAATGCTTTGACAAAGGTAGTGTTTTTATGTGACCTGTCTATCTCTGTCCCAGTTATGCTGTACAGTAATAATTAGCTCATTTGTGTATTTATTTATTTATTTTTTGTAGTAGTTAACAGTACTACAGGGTACGGCTTTTTATGTTGAATTTTAAAATAAAAAGCCAGAGTTAAAGTTTAGAACTTGGATCAATTTTTATATCATTTTAGTTGAGGCAGTAACAAAGGTGTACTGTGTGGTTTATTCTGTAAAAAAACTTAGGCTCAAGAGTGACAGAAATTGTGTTCTGAAAAATAAGAATTAATAAAAATCAAGATAAATGCATGGGATAAATGCAGAAATTCAGGCTATTTAGTGACACCGATACATAATTGCTTAATAGATCCTGTGGTAAGAAATGCTAGTAAAAATTTTTGATTGGGAATGGTAAAATGTTTGGTGCTTGAAAAACCCATTTGTTTTTAAAATTCCATGCATAGATTTCAATATATTAGGTGTGTATTATAAGGTCAGGTGGGGGCCTTAAGCCCTTATGTGGAAGACTTTTAAAATATTGTGCTCTGACTACTTGTGTTGAGAACAATTAAATATGTGATGTGTTAAGTTTGAAAATATTTTGATGCTATTTTAAGGGCCCACACCATGATTTACACAGGTCTGTTAAACTAACTCCATGACATATTAGATGGTTTTTATGGCCAAGAGTAGAATAAACTTCCATCTTTGAACAAAGCTTCCACTGGAAACTGATAGGAAATTTCGTGAAAAAAATCGAAACAAAAGCTAGTGGTTCTTTGCATTGAATTTGCCTTACAATAATTACTCTTAGAAATGCATATCCAAATGTATATTTCTTAGTACTAAAAATTTGCTATCTTTTAATGAGAGTGGTGATTTGTTTCCCTTGCAAAGGAAAATTGAGAGGAAAATAGAGTTCTGAAAACTTTAAAACTATCCAAAAGTGCTTTTTTCATATACATTACTCTTTCCCACATTCCTGTAGATGCTTCATCAAAATTCTATAATTAGCCTGCACTCCTTTTTTAGGAATGTGTGCTCTCTTCAGTTACAACAAATTCATACAAAAAGATTTTTACAAGATCTAGGGTAGTAGAGGCTAACAGTAAAGGATACTTCAATTACTGTGGACTTACAGCAATGAGTAAAGTAGATGTTTCAAAAAATTTACTTTGGCTTTTAATTTTAAATGCCCATGTGAGTCCTGAAGTCATTTATGTAATTATAGGAATTATGAATGATATGGCAAATCAGTTTTTTTTCAAACCTCTGGAATGATTTTTTAAAAGATCCAATAACCTTAAAACGATACTTCCAAATTTATTGGATAGCATTTCCAAGTCAGTACTGTAAATTTAGAATGTGTGCTTAATGTTATGTAGGTGTCACGCATACAGTTCTCTCCAGTATTAAAGGTATATCCAAAAGTGACTTTAGCCAGTTGAGGAGAGGGGACTGCTGCAGTCCACCACAGATTATGGAAATAGGCAGAACTAAAGTATTATTCTTGCATTGTTGTACATAGAACACATTTAAAGATGAGCCAGACTGGAAACCCAAATGCCTTCTGGACTGCACTAAATTTTCTCTCAAAAGTCACCAATTTCACTCCATTTATGGAAGGGTGTTAACAGAGGGTTGAGAAACGATTCAAGGAGATACTAAATAATGTATTATTTCTGAATCATTGCATCGGATAATTAACATCCTGCCTGGTGTAAGTAAGTATTTATAGATCCTACAACATACCAAAATCAGCCAAGTAATACATCATCCTGAATGAAGCCCTCTTGATTAAAAAGTTCCCACTTGACCACAAAGTTCCCACTTGACCACATATGCAAGTTTGGGCTGCCCTTTCTGTGTTTCTGGTCACAGTTACATGTAGTTACAGATGGCTGAGCCAATTCTAGGTAAAGCCACCCTGGATACAATGGCCTGCAAGTAAAAGTAAGCACATGGCCATCCTGCCATTTGCCAAAAGTGAAGGTAGTAGACCTGTCAAGCTTGTCGTGTAGATGGCTTCAGACTTCCTGCTAGCCATCTGGGTTGCCCACCTGGCTGGAATCTCAGGGACCATTACCCAGGATAAAACAAAGGTCACTGGCTTGCTTTCAGGAACTGCTCAGTTTGGGCCACTGTGCCCTTCAAGAAGATCCCGCAAGATGAGCAAAAATTCTCAAAGTGGTGGCCTCTTTCAGAAGTTGGAAACATTTTCATAGCTCTTAATTTCTTAGCTGTTTCCTTGTTCATATATATGTATTTACTTGGTGCCGGGTATTAAATCCAGACCCTTGCACATAACAAAGCACATATTCCACCCATGAGCTACAACCCTGCCCTTCTTTTTATTTTTAGAAAATGTTAGGCTCTTCCAAACAAGTGGATATCCAAACCTTGTGGATAGAGGCTAAAAATTTTAAAACTTGAACACATTACTTTGGGGGATCTTGCTTGAGAGGCTTTGCCTTTTAGTGTTTTTTCTCTCCTCGATTGGATTCTATTAGACTTAATCCCATATTAAATATTTGGAATTTTTAACCATTAAATAAGGCTGGTACTGAGTA